GCCCATGCGTTAAATACCATTAAATATTAGCAAATATTTCATAGATAGAGAAATAGATAACACTAAATATTAACATAGCTAACATTAAATATTAGTAAAACCAAAGCAGCTCGCCTACTCATCACCAGCTTTGTGTGGTCTGGCCATGCTGCTAGGAGGAGGACCAGGACACTGCTCAGGAGGGAAAATGGGGTGATTGCTGGGTCCAAACCCACACTCCCAAAGATCCCAAAGGTTTGTGATTCCCTTGCACAAACTTGCCTGGTCCCTGGGAAGAAGGGAAAAAAGAATAGAAATAAACTAGGCTGGATGCCAGGCACTGTCCCCTCACCCAGAGCCTAAGTAGTGCTTTTTTCAATTAATGTCTTTAAATTAACCCCTTCAACAAGCCCGCTGCCGTGACATCACTCCCAAGCGACGCCCAGGCCTAAATACGGTAGTAAACAGGAATCGTCCCCACGGGAGTCACACTGGCTATAAATACAGCAAGAGGGGAGCGCTGAGCAGAGGACGGGCTGCAGTTCCCCGCCAGCTAAGGATGGTGAGACAGCTCAGCTGGGCACTGGTGATGTGTGGTCACCACGGGGGGGAAACTGTGTGTGTGTGCCAGGATGTGCTGGGGGCCTGGAGCTCCCGGCTGAGCTCCCTGGCATGCCTTTGGGAAGGGAGCTGTGCCCTGCCAGGGCAAGCAGGGAGATAGTGGGGAGAGGGACGGCAAACCCGGGGCTCAGCAAGTGAGCTTGGTGTCAGCTTGGGCAATGACACTGGCCCCTCTTCGCAGCGCCTGGCCCCATAGCCCTACCCAAGGAGGAGATGGCCACAGAGAAGCCAGTGACTCCCACTGAGGAGCAGCTGGAGATCCTGGAGTACAACTTCTGCAAGGTGAACAAACACCCTGACCCCACCACGCTGTGCCTCATTGCGGCCGAGACTGGGCTCTCTGAGGAGCAGACCCTGGTGAGTGTGTGCCCCTTGCCCTTACTTTGGCACCAGCTCTGCTCCCCCTGCCTGCCTCTGTGTCCCACAGACTCTCCCCACATCTCCTGCTTGTCCTGTCTCCAGCTCTCTGTCATATTCCCTGCACCCTTCTATTCACCTACATGCTTCTTACTGTACTTCCTGCACCTCTCATGCTCCCCAACTCTCCTGCAGTCCTCTGCGCCCCATATGCACCCTACTTGCACTCCCTGCAGCAGTCTGCACACCACACCTACAAGTCTTCTCTGCATCTCCACAACCTCCAGTGCACCCCTAACCCCATACTGCACCCACAGAACTCTACTGTACCACCACCTCTCCCTGCACCCCACATGTTCCTGCCCCTGCATCCCCAAAGCCCCTTCCCCTGTAATCACAGCCCCTTCATTCCCAGCCATGGCATCCCACTGGGATCCTTTTGCTCCCCTCACACACCAGGAGCACTATCCCCATCCTGGGCTTGGATACCAGGCTAGTGATTCCCACAGCCAGAACAAGGGCACACCCTGAGGGTCACTGACTGGCTGTGAACCCCTGAATATACAAGCCACTTGTGCTGTCCTTTCCTTTCAATCTATTTCTAATAGTCTTGGGTACCCAAACCACTGCTGGCTTTGCAGTCTGAAGAAAACAGTTATTCTACAACAGACAGATACAACTGCTGCAGGATGCGCTCAGGGACGTGCTCAGGCTGTGCACACTCCCCCTCACTGCACTTTGCTACTTTAGCGTTCCCAAGCCTGCATGTCAGGCAAGTCTGTCCACCTTTTGAGGAGACACAGAGGCTTCCAAATGTCCCTTCACAGGGACAGGCTGCCACTGCCTCGGACTTACACTGAGTTTTGTGCTCCATCTGACTACCTGCAAGCTATCCTGGGCTTCAGAAACAAATGGCTCCTACACAATTCCTTCAGGTTGCAGTGCAGCCAGTTTAAATGCAGGTATTTTATAAGCTACTAGACCCATGGCAGCATTGGTGGGTATAGAAAGGAAATCCAACTCGCTGAAAAGCTAGCAGCAGAGAGCTGCCAAGCCTGGCTCTAACTGGGCAAAGACAAAGGGATATGAGAGCTAAGCAATGCCAGTACTTAGCCTGTCCCAGGGAAGGATGCTGGTATAACATCCATTGCCCATGATAGCCCTTGGCTGGAGTGGAAAAGGAGACCCTTTTTTTACTGTGCTTTAATGACAGGCAGGTACCACTGCTTGTTTGAAGCCACACCCTTGGAATACCTTTTCCTCTTTAGAAATGGCACTGCTCCCTTTCTCTTTTTCCTAAAGCAAGTTGTAAACACAGGACAGATATGCCCAGGACACATCTGGAGAAGTCTTAAAAATCTTCCCTGATAGCCATCTTTTTCCACAAATCCAGGGTGCTCCTAGGGATCTGGAGATGAAGGACATATTAAGGACAGGATCAAGACTGGGATGGTGAGCTGTGAAGTGCTTGCATTGCATATAACAGAGCATTATCACTGTTGACATCTGGAGTGCTTTATTGGCTAGATATAGCAGCCATTTTAATAAAATCAGTAAAAATGAGATGCAAAGAGGTGGTGAGTCAAAGGGAGATGATGGTTGAGGGCAGGAAGTGAAATTTTTGGGAAGAGGCGAGGCGAGGCAAGCAATCATCTGACTGGATGCGGTCCAAGGCAGTGCTGGTGCGAAAGCCACTTTGTAGAGAGCATCGTGGTTGTGTCATTACGAACCACAATAGCTTCAGAAATAGCCATGAACAAATATAGCAACAGAGTGAACAGCAACAAAGCAAATCACAGGCACATTCCCAAACAAAAGGCTGAGCTGTGCTTCCGGGACACGAGTTATCTCTCTCTTCTTACGCAGGTAGTGTGGCTTTATTGAGCTGCATTTTAGCTAACGTTCGAAATTGCAGCTGCCTTCAAGTGGCGTCAGCAGCTCTGGGAGTTGGCCTAGGGATGCTAAGCTACTGCACAGTAACATAGCCATGCATATTGCTTGAAGACTAAGATCACTGTAACCCATTTTTTAAGTTTATTTGATCTTAAATTTGCTGAGAGCCACTGCATTGTCCCTGTCATACTTTCTGAAGCAGGTCAGCTTGTGATTCCTGTCTGTTTTGGACCTGCAGTGATTGTTTCATTGCTCCAGCCATTTAAGCAGATGCCATCCAGCAGCTCCTCAGCCAATTTCTTACTCTGTTTGCAAGAAAAACTTGGACTCACAGAAATAAAACAAGAACTTACCCATGCTGTCAAGGTCTGAAGTGAGCAAGAGAAATGAGTTTGAAAGCAGTGAACACATCAGTAACAAGACCATTCATTCAGTCAGAAGCAGCTCTCCTGATGCCTGTACTGCCTAGAAACAGTGCAGCACCTTCAGATAGCAGAACCAGGAGTTTCCCTCACCTGGTCCCATGTGCTGACCACATCTGCACCTTTAGCAAGGTTATTTAGAGGCTCACTCAGCCCAGTGCACTCAACCTCTTTCTCTTTTCTTTCCTCCAGAAATGGTTCAAGCAGCGCCTGGCAGAGTGGAGGAAGTCTGAAGGGCTGCCCTCACAAAGCGGATCTGTCAGGGACTAGAGGACGCTGCTCCAATCCCCAGGGCTGCTGATAATGATGGTGAAGTTCTTCAGAGTGGGTTTCCTTGGGGTTCTTCTGTTGCAATAGGTTTTGAGACACAAAGTAATAGCCTGCTATTTACCATAAGTTTTATTTAAAGTGTACATAACCAGGAAAAAGTATTATATATATATATGTGTGTGTGTATACAGCTTCCGATGGCTGCATAACCTATCTAGTGATTCCCATCCATTAATAATGCCCTTGTCCCAGGCTTACAGAAAAGCTGACATGAAATCTTCAAACATAGAAGGGGAGGGAAAGATTTATTTTGCTTATGCTCCCCAAAGGCAAAGCATACATTCTAGCTTTAATATACCATCCAGAGAGGAGGGCACCTGGAAAACAGATGTGTTGCTCAGATGATCTTAGTTAGCTCAAGATGCTGAGTCAGCTCTGGATATCAGCAAACTGAGAGCCTACACAGTCATCAGACCAAGGCAAGCCTCCCTTGAATGTATTTCTCACATTGCTGTTAAAGGTCATCAAAGGGAAAGAATTCACGTTTTGGTTTTTTTGGGTGTTTTTTCCAATGCATTAATAAAAAAACCAGAGTTTTTTGATGAGAGGAGCTGTGTTACGTCCCTGTTTGTGCTCCTTGCCCCGATGGCAGGAGACTGACTTCTTCCTCTGGGAGAGCAACACTTCTCCAAAGACAGCCTCAGTGGGCATTGTGAGGTATCCCTCTTGCCACAGGGATAGCACACGGACATGGGCAACCTCCATGGGTCCATCCATGGCAGCCCACACAGCCTCATCCCTGAGGTGGCAGAGGCTGGTAGCACTGGGGCTCCCCCATGGGTGGGGGCATCAGACTTCACCCTCCATCTGGCCATTTTTAAGCTTAAGGGATGTAGTTGCACTCGGGCTTTTGCACAGAACCCAAACTCTGGTACACTGACCTGGTACAGGACAATGCATGGGATAAAAAATAACCAGCACCGTTGCTCAGTGACCTTACCTTGTTCAAAAGGGTTCAAAAATCCTCTGCTTAGTGGATTACTGAATCAATTACTGGATCCTCTGGTTAATCCTGTTGTGGTTTGTGGTGACCTGCCTCTATTCCTTTGGAAGGAGAATCGGCTTAACACAGGGAAGATCAAGATACTCTGCCAGTGAAACTGCCACATGCTTTCTTTTATAACTTTTGTCCCTCCATTATTCTGCCTAGGGTTACACAACCGAGTATCTGAACCGCAGACATATAACCCACCTGTGTAACTTGTACCAAAGATGCACACAAAGCAAAAGCCTGCTTGCCCATTCTCCGGGCATTTGAAAGAAGGGGCCCCAAACTCAAGCCAACTCAAGGTACCTGCCACCCCAGCATTTCCAAAGTCTGTGCTAAAGCTGAACACCTTATCAAATCCAGCCCTGGATCTGGAATGTTGCAGCCTTTTGTGTTTCTATTTCTGTCACTGAGAAGATCTCTAAACTTTAGCAAAAAATTTAAAACCCCAAGGTCAGGAGTTGCACTGCATCAACGTGCTGCGTGCCGTTGGCTGTGGTTCGCCACACTTACTTATGTGAAAAAACAGTTCCTGTGCTGGCTTCCCCCAGCAGTTGTTTCATCACTTCTTTAACTGTTATAGCTAAAAAATAAGAAGAGATATAAAATCCAGACGTAACTCATCCTAGGGAGAAAGGCTTCCCACATTAGGTCAAATCCTGCTTTTTTCCTCTGCTCACTATTTTTGTGCTTATGGAATGACTGTTTTATTTAACTCCCCAGATTAGCCCAGTAAAAGTAGCAGCTCGTAAGAAGTGTTCCTGGTAGGTACTGCTGTGTTCAAGTAGGTTTTCCAGTCCGAACAGACTGATGTTCCAAGGGGGACAGCTGGCACGAGCAGAGGGCTGTGCTTCTGAGGAAGCTCAGCGCTTAATCGGACAAGCCAGTTCCTTGATCCGAGCAGAACAAATTGCCTTCTTAGCAGACTCCTTCACGATGAAGGCATTTGGGTTGAATTGAGTCAAGTTCATCGGAAGCCTGGGGGAGTGAGGACAGAGCCGGTCAATTCCAACTGGAGCAGAGCCAGCTATCAAAGCTGCCTGCCAGTTGACACACCTCCACCTGTGCCCTGCCCTGTCCTGGGAGGACAAAAGCAGTCATGTCTTGGCTGCTGTCACCAGGACACTAGTGAGAGCAGATGTCCCATCTCTCACTGCAGCTGCCACAGCCACTACCACAAGGCATTCCCTCTCTCTCTGTGAAACACCATACCCAGCACTTCCTGCAGCCCAGGCTGAGGCCAGCTGTATCATGCTGGGCAGCATGAATTTGCTATACTGCACCATGTGTCAGCTGGCTGCTTTTAATAATTTCAGCTAATAATTACAAAGTCCCAGCCAGTAGTTCCTACTGGAATTAGAAAGCTCCTATTTCTCCTCTTTTGATTGTCCTTCCACCTCAGAAATGCTGTTTAAACCACAGCCCATGTAGCAGTAACACATCCAGCCATACAAAACCCATACATTTTGGAAGTGAAAAAGCAGTGGCTTAATCACATTCCATAAATCCAAATCAACAAGGTACCATGGCCTGCATGAAACGGGCTGACAGATGATCATTTCTGCATAGCAGTGAAGCAGCACCTACCTTTTGCAAGGCTGGGCCAGTTCCACAAGCCTTGGTGTAGCCACTGCCTGCTTTGCAGCCTTTGTCACTGACCATGCAGCATCCCGATTAGGCATATAATCAGGATGCAATCTTTTTGGCATAGCCAGCTCCAGGGTCCGAGGGCTAGCAGTTGCCTCCTGAGCAAACTTGGAAACCTGTGGAAGAATGGGGAGGAAGGTCCCTCCAGATATGTTCCTGGCATTCAAAGGTGACCAGCCTGCAACTCAGTGTACCCAGGTTTACAGCCACTGACCACACACAGGTGCAACATGATCCTGTCCATGCTCTGGACGGAGGACAAGTCCTGCTCTCCAGCCCCGGAAGCAGCTACATCAGCGTCACAGACAGCAGCACATTCAGGGCTGCCATGAAGAGAGCCCCCAGTGACTGAGCCCCTGTACTCTCCCCTCTGCCCAGCATCCCTGCCATGCACAACCCCAGGTGATGCTGCCTTACCGGGCGAATGGCAGATTCAAAAGGGCCATACTCATAGCAGCAGGTCACCTTCTTGACCGAGGGCTCTGCCAGCTGATGTATCCGTGAGGATGTTCTGGCCAAGGCTGCAGCATTTGTAACCTGTGTTGGCACCTGCATGGGTTCAGAATGGGGGAGACATGTGCAGACACACAGCTTGTCCACAGCAGCTCAGAGGGACACACTCCCTTCTCCAAAGGGATAAGCACCCAGCATTCTTCCTCTGCAGACATGGTTACAAGAAGAAGCACTCTCACTTTCTCAACATGCATTAGTTTTCTTTCACCTGAACTAGAAGGTAATTTTGGCACTACTGGGATTTGTATGTCTTAGCCAGTATTACTTTTTTCCCAGCTGTCACCCCCTCATAGGCAGGAGAGGAATGTCTGTAACCAGAGCCTGTGCAGCCAGGTGAGAGTGCAGAGAAATTTCTTCCAGAGTACTGTTTTTCATATTTGTCTTCCTGGCTGAATCAAATAATTTCCCCTCCTAAGGAGAAACACTCAGATTTCAGGGTAAAAATACTGGTGCAGTTAACTGCATTCCTACAGCAAAAGTGATTACTGCTCCAGCATGGGACATCTTCCCCTATTTTTCACAGGGTTACTGATGCCAAGTCCTGCTCCAGCACAGTCCCCCTTATGTCCCAGCCCAGAGACTTCATCCAGAAAACTTGGCCTTTGCCATGGAATGAGTGTAATCTGAGATTGCCCTTTCACCCCTGCCAAAGCAATGACTCGCCTAAAATGAGCAAGTTCAGAAATATGTCTGTAAATCAAGCTAATCTGGTAAGACATTGTTAAAATCTATATATTGTTTGCAAGCTCATGCACCCTATATACACAACACAGCTGCCCAACTGAAAACACAACTGTATTCCCTAGGAGCTGAACAGACCGTTCCCATCAGGTTTCTCCACTTTCCCAGGCTGCTTTATCAGGGGATATGCAGCCCAAATGCCTCCCTTGGCTCTCCTACTATTCTAGGCTGCTCCAGCCTGGCTGTTCTCTGTCCCTCAGCAGGGAGATTTTCAAAGACAGCATCTCATTCCAAAAAGGCAGTTTCTCTCAGTATCACAAACCCCAGCAGAACCACAGTTTCGCCATAGCACATGCTGGGCACATCCAGGGGCAGGATACAGGGTTTAAAAACTCAGGACAGTTTGCTGCATCACTGTCCCATCCAATCTCACTCAACCAGCTCCTCACCTTTTTGGCTGGCAGGAACTCTGGGTGCAGCACTTTTGGCTGGGCAAGCTCCACAATCCGTGGGGAGGTCTTACAGCTCAGTGCTGCTGGTGACACAGGCCATTCAGGGGACGTGCGAGGTCTAGAAGCAGAGTCACAGCACCACCACTCAGGGATATTTCCCCACACTGGTTAAACCAGGCAGCAGCAGGGATGTTTAAGTCTCACATTTGCTGCAGTAGAAGGAAGCTTTGTTTTGTGGCTACTTCCAGTGCAGAACCCACACATACTATGACAAAGACCAGATGTCCTAACCTCAGCAGAGTCCCTGTTCTGCATTTTGCCCTCTGGTATACCCATCTTTGTTCCTGTATTTGTTACTTTAAGGCTGGACTAATGCTGTAAGACCCAAGGGCCTTCCTATAGAACCCTACAGGATTTCTGGTCTCTCACCTTTTCAGCAGGTAAGCAGCCTGGTATTGTTTAGGTTCAGCCAACTTCATCAGCCGATCAGAAGGGAAGCGAAAATCCACTAGTGAGGGATGCTCCCAGGTTGTTGATTCCCGTCCACAGCTGTACAAGTAGAGGGGCCTGAAGGAACAGCACAGAAAAGTTAGTAAACTGACAGAGAACTTGGTTCTGGTAGATGGTATCCTAAGGTTGGTTAAACAACCATGCCTGTTACATGTACAAAAGCTGGCACCAGTGCACATGGTAAAGCCATGAACAAACGGGCATTTACACTTGAGATTTCCTGGTAAATGCTGTTTGTGTATGTAAAGTCCTCTTTTAAGCATCCTCAGTGCATTGCTTTCAAAGTCTAGGCCTTTGCCTGGCCCATTACTCCACAATACAAACCCGGCAGCATCTTGTTCAGCTCTAACAATTTAGAAACCACTTTGTTGCAATGGGTTAATAGCTGTTGCAGCTCCTTTCATCTTGGGATCTCCCCACGCTTGCCTAGTGCATGCTCATCCAGCTTTCCATCAGCCACAACCATTGGAAGATGACTGTCATCCCCAGGGAAGAGGTGAGCAGAAAGGCAGGAAGGGCTGTCAGGCAGACACCATTAGTCAGAGGCAGAAGCTCTCAGGAGGATGAAAGCCCTTGAACTGATGACAGTGGCAGAGGAGAGAATAATACAGACACACACGTCTTGACACCACTCCAGGTAGAGGAAAGCCAGGAGTACAACACAGTTCAATATGCATTCTCATTGCTCAGACTTCTTACAGACTAGCAACCACCATTCTGTCTCCAAAAGAACTTCATTCCCTCCTGCTGAGCTACAGAAGATACAGATCAGCTGCTTCAAGTAATGCAGCATCACCCAGCACCACTGAAGCTTACATTTTTCACCTTGTTCTTCACTCCTATACCCAAACACTATTTTTTTTTTACCATGTAGTGACAGCAGAGGTTTAACTCAAGCCAGGAGACCTGGGTTTCTACCAGCCAGCAGGATGCTGCAAGATTTCTCTGTTCATAGCACTTCCTAACCTTTAGTCACAAGATTTAGGCCAAGTTCCAAGAGGATGCAGGGGATCACTAATTGTGTCCAGGTGCCTGCTGCATCAGCCCCAGTACAAACAGAGAACCCTCTAGGGACAGATAGTCCCTCTGTACACACAGGTGTGACACACACGTTTCCATTAAAGCATGCATACGCGCAAATTATATCTCTGCTTCCATGCCAAAGCAGAGCTGTTGACCGGGGTTTTTGTTACAGCAGAGGAATATGTTCCCAAGCGCTTGGAAACTGAGATCAAGGCTGGCTCTTATGGCAGTTGATCCAAACCCAGAGCAACCACCACATGTTGGAGAGGCCATTTTCACAGACAGGAAGCAGGTACAAGGAAATAAAAGGGCACCAAAACTCAGCAGCCCCCAGTTCCTCCTCATTTTGGAAGTCAAGCATTCAGGGTGACTACTCCCATAGCGCTTCCTTCCCTGCTACAGATGGTCCCTGTTCCAAGCACCAGTACAGACTGGTGGGTGTCAGTGGCATGGAAATCCCTGTGGGGCAGCAATGGCAGGAAAGGAGATGGCATCTCTCTTTCCCTGCACCCACTGAGTCCCTTTGCTTAGTCAGCACCCTCTGAGCTGCCTCCTTCCCCAAGATGTGCTATCACATTACTGACCTGCACAGGTTCTTGCCAAAATCTTGCTTGGGCTTGGCCAATTCCAGGATCCTTGCAGATGGTCTAGCTGTCATAGCACGCCGTGAGGTGGTCCATATCGTCTCTTGGTTTCCCCAAACAAGCCTAGCAAGAACAGCAAGGGTGTGAAATTTTAGGAACATGCCCAAGTGTGAACTGTGCTTGCTGGGGTTATCCTTCCCTGCCTGGGATGGAACACACATATGGTCCCTATGGCTACCCCCACCTGTAAAGTGCCGCTGCTGTTTCCTGAGCACTCACTTTCTCTGGCACACTGTCCAGAGTTAGAAAATGTCACCAACTCAAAAAGAAAAAAGCCTTCAAGGGATGAGTCTGGTTTTACAACTACCGGTGGATGTGCAGAAAAGGTCATTTCATTACATCTCTGAAACCCCTGGGGGAGTTTCATGATTGCATTTTTCTTGCCTCACTGTTACCATCTAGCTATACCACAAGTATGACAGTAAAAATAATAATACTGTTATGGTCAGGGTGTGCCATGGAAAGTGGGTGAGGTTTTGCAGCACGTTAGTGGTTACTCTCCTGTGCCCAGGGCAAATCTGGAGCTGCTCATTCCCAATTGAGAGAGAGGCCATGATGGGAGAGGGTACCAGGGTAGTCAGGAGAGGGAACAGCTGGGCGATGGGTTTGTGGAACCTTTTCCAAGCACAGTGACACCCATACAGACAGTGGAGAAGAGACGTTATCAAGAGACTGTTGCCCTGGCATCTCAAGCCATAGCTTGACCACATAACGCTGACAGCAGCTCTGCTTCTAAAGCTGAACTGTGTTCTCCAGGATGCAGCAGCCTGTGACTCCAATGAGGTCCAATCTCCTTGCACCACTACGCCATCCTATCCTGCAACATCTCAGTGCAGCAACTCAGACAGGACAGCAAAGACAAGACTGGATCAAGCCCAGTTTTTTGATTGAAAGCAAGAGCAAGTCAAAGAGAGCCCCTCATGCACTGAACACCTCCACCTGGATTTTCTGAGCCACTCCTGCTCTTGAGAGGGAAGCAGTAGCAAGACAAAAGCAAAGGGTCTGTACTGGCTGAGGTCCCATCAATCCCCAGCCCTTGAGCACGGCTACATTACCTCCTTACCTGGGGTCATTTGCACAAGCTGCTTTCTTGGGTTCTGCAAGTTCCCGTATCCTGTCAAAATTGCAGAAAAGGACAAACATGCCATTTAACATACAGTTAAACCAACAAAGCACAAAGAAGCTACTGCTGTACTCAAAACCACATAACACACTCTCAAACTCCTCTGCCTTTTCCTCCATCTCTTACAAGAGTGTGTTTAACGGACCTCTCTCTCCTAGTACCTTTCCATCCATTTAATCTGAACTCATCAACCCATGAATTTTTGTGCTATTTCTTGGATTGCAGACACAAATTTGCAATTCTGCCCTCATTGCAGGGTCCCTTTGAGACATTGCAGAGAGAGGGGGAAGGTATTTTCTGGTTAATAACACACCATGCAACCCCGGCAGATAGGAGATGGATGATGTCTTCAGCCTACAGGGGCCCAGATGAACAGAAACACTCCTGTGGTTTGCTTAAAGTCGACATGGAGATTTCCCACAGGGCTTTAGGAGCACAGGTGAAGCCATATTTTTTTATCATTTTATTTCAGTCTGTTTAGCACAAGAGTCTTAGATGCTAGAGACTGAGGAACATACATGGTCTGTGCCCTAGCAGCCCTGAAAACCATAGAGTCATCAAATAGTTTGGGTTGGAAGGGACTTTCAAGGGTCACCTAGTCCAATCCCCCAGCAATGAGCAGGGACATCTTCAACTAGGTTAGGTTGATCAGAACTACATCCAGCCTGGCCTTGAATGCCAGCTATGGAATTGCCTCATCATGGAAAAAGCACAGAGAGTGAAAGCCTGAGGCATTGCTTCCCTTGCTTAGTACCATCTGGCAATAAGGCAGTGTAGACCTAGAGAGGAGTGGGGACACACAGAGAAGTGTTTGCTGACAGAAAACAGTCTGCATTGTGGGGACTCATCTGTGGTTCCTCTGATGGGGCTGATACCCCTTCCTGAGGTGCCAAGCCCCAGCAAACACTTGCCAGAGACCTCAGGACCACAGAGACCCTTGCAATGGCAGGCTGCTGTTAAAGCATCAGATGCCTGCTGATTTATCTCCCTGTCATGCCTAACCCCTGGTCACAGCACTACAAACAAGAGATCCCACAGAGGAAACTGCCTGTAGGACTTCGGTCCCCTGCCGCCGGTTCAAGACAGGACACGCTCAGGACAGCAGCCCTCATGTCAGGAGCCAAAAACCAGTTTCAGCTGCTCATTCCCAAGCAGCTCCCCAGAGTCTTTTCCATGCAAAGGTGGGAGGGGATGAAGGATTACCAGACAGAGAATTCCCCCCAGCCCAGCTACATTGCAGAGATGGCACTATCCCTGCAGGCAGGCTCCTCGCTTCTCCTCCAGCAACGGCACAGACCCACCACATAGGCACAGCCAAGCCCAGCAGAAAGTGCACATGGCCTTACTGACCCATATGACACTGCTGTGCAAAGCTTGCATCATGACCCAGCCAAGGAACAAGTCACACGTACATCCAGACCAGGTCTCTCGATTCACTTGGCAATTGTCAAGTAGTATATTGGGTTTTTCCAATTACAAAAAAGCTATTATTTTCTACTCTTTTATCATGGCAAAAGCTCTGGACACACAGGCGTCCTCACACAGGATGCACCTGCAGCAGTTCTGCAACTTGACTGATAAGCGGACTGCCCTTGCTGTTTGGTCCTGCTCCTGCTTCCCAGCAGGGAAAAAAGAAGGCCTTGCTTCAGTCAGGCAAAGAAACACCTCCCGTCCATGCCTGAGCTCACATGGACTAACTGCTTAGCCATCAGACTCATCAGACGTTGTTGGTCATGAGCAGCAGGCGGAACAGCAAACCCAGGCATCGTTTCCTCTGTGTGTTTATCACAGTGTCATCCGATATACTGACTCGCTGCCTGGCGTAAATCCCCGACCCAGCCCTCCCTGAGAGACGCAGGGCTTGGCCTGGATGCCCAGCCAGGAGGTCAGGTCTGGGGGTTCTTACCTGTCATAGGAGCTTGCAGAGTGGTAACGAGGAACTGCAAAGACAGGAAGAGGTGAATTTAAAAGCTTGGTAACACCGGCAGCTTGGACTGCCTGCTCTTCAATGTTAAACAATTGCAGGGAGGGTGGAGTCTCTGCATCTTCTCAGGATAGGTCTGCCTGGCAGCTATTTGTAAGGCTTTTCCCTGGTACCTTGCCGGGGCAGCTGCACAGCGATGCATTTACACACGAAGTGTTCCTCACCCAGCGGATGGGTAGTCTGGGAGCACCACGTCCCCTTATCAGCATCCTCCTCTTGGGATCGCTGTCCCCATCTCACCCCTTACTACTGCCCTCAGCCTGAGGGGCCTCGGTGAGCAGCGGCTGTATTAAACTGGGACTTTGCAGCAGCACAGAACAAGCCGCCATGCTTTCAAAGCGGGGACAGGAAAACCACGGACGCGCTGGGGAAGCCAGGCTCGGTTTCGAGGATCCACCTGCCCGCTGGCAGCAACGGCCGGGCTGGCATCCCGCTGCCGAGCAGACGCTCCGGTGGCGCTGTGGTGCCAGGGCCCCGCCGCTCCCGCCGTCCCTCCCTCCCTCCCTCCCGCCATGCCGTGCAGCATCCCCCGAGCCCCGCCGCGGCTGGGGTCTACCAGCCCGACCGCGAGGGGCTACCCCCGCCACCCCACACGGCCCCGTCCCCACACACCGGCTCGCGGCCCGGCCGGCGCCATGGTGCGCGCTCTCGTCGCCATGGCAACGGCTGCTGAGGGAAGCGCTCCTGAGGAGAGACCCCTCCCTCTGGCGGGCCCCGGGTACGGGAACCCGGCCGGCAGCGGAGGGCTGCGAGGGTCCGTCCTGCCGGAGGCTGCCCTCCAGGCTCTCCAGCCTCACGCCCTGCCCGTGTAAATGAGGCCCGGACCGCTGGTTTGGGTGACGCTTTCTGCTTTATGCATCTGTTCCAAAGGATGAAACTACACAACATTCATACAGTAAATGTAGCCGCGCAACAGGCCCGTTACAGAACTTGCTCCTGGATCGCATTCCTGGGATGTAATGCCAAGGACAATGGGAGAGTGACACTCATCGGGTACCCTTCCTCTCCTGCTTGTGTTAACACAAATCGCTTCCAAAAATCAACCGGTTTTTCACACATAAGACTGCTTGCTTGAGGACAACCCGGACTAAACTGAAACAAACCACTCAGCCCGATGGAGGAGTCCCACCTTTGGTGCCAATTTAACTTAAATGCTTCCAGTTACCACCTTAAATGACACCATTCTGGTTTTTCCCTGCAGGCAAAGAAACGCTTAATGTCTTACTGCGATTGTCTTCTTGTTCTTACCTACTAAAGAAACAATAACCAACGCAATTTCCAGAGATTACTAATCTACCACTCCCTTAAAGGCTGGCTCCAACACAGCAACAACAAAAACTGTCAAAGATACTAACTGCAGTACTTTAAATTTCTGACAGTGTCAAGAAGTGAGGTCTGGTTTTCAACAGAACACCACTGGTAACAGGGTCCTGTAAAACCTGAGGAGTACACGTTTCAGTTTAAACCTGAGACATCAAGCCAGGCTAAATTCAATGGATGCAACCTTGTTCCACTGGAGTGGACGTTTGATTCCCACCTGGCAAGAAGCCAGCTCAGCCCACCTAAGCTACACATCCTCTTAACTCTGCTATGTGGGAGACTAATTTTCCCCTACAAATACGCTAAATATTAGACTTACTTCTCAAATGTATTTTCAAACCAATACAAATTAGATTTTGTTACCAACTAGACACCGTTTTCAGGGGAATCCCACACTCGGAAGGAAAAGATACCTGTACATTTCAGTTGCCGCATGACAAACTGACCATACACTAACACTCTGTCTCCCTCAGCTGCACAGATCGCATTGTAGGAAAAGAGCTGTCACTGTGCTTCCAAAACCAGTTGCGCTATCAGCTCCTTGGCATCCTTCATGTTGGAGGAGATCTCGGAGCCATCTTCTGCCACATGGGTACCAATCAAGAACACCTTCCTGTTGTCCCCAGTATCATACAGTGCCAGAGCATCATGGATATCGGCGATGCAATATGCGCCTTCAAGGTCCTGATACACAAAACAAAAACGAGACCATTAGTTGCAAGAGGTAGCAGCACTATTCCCACGTTGCTGTTCTGTTTCTAGTCATTCCAGTGTTAATGACACCAGTGTAAAACTACTCACATATAGGAGCCAGACAAAAGTCTTGCTGCTCAAAGTGTCCGGCAAAGAGCTACAAGAACAGGGCAAACATGCCCTGCATGCCTTCTCAGCTACCAATGCGGGACTGTGGGACCTAGAGTAACAGCAGTAGCACCTGTGCTTGATGAAGCCAAAGCACTCAAGAGTAACACAACTACTAGTAACATGCCCAAGTTACCAGAAATTTAGGAGGTGACAAGGTAGAGTGAGACAAGGCATAGCCCTCATAAGAGAAAATCTGGGCTTAAAATCCCTGGGCTGTTCTGCCATCTGACATTGCACCACAGACACATTCCTGCCCCAGGTACAGCACCAGTCTTGGGAGAAAGCACTGCCTTGTGAGGAAAGCTGCTCTTCTCTCATGCTTCAGCAGCAGCCTTAGGAGCAACCAACCTGACAATCTGAATGCTAATAATGGTGCTTCACTTTTTGGCTCCTGCTAAGTAAAGTGGTACTTCTAGTACATTCGGAACAGAAACCTAACTCCAGGTCTGACTATAGTCTCTCCTGCAGCTCTCAAATCTTGCAACTGTACAGCAGTTTCTACCACAATTTCCACCCACAGTTCTGCCTGCACCATCTCCAAGCACAGGACCTGCATTTTGTAGATCCAAAACTCAACCTCAGACTATTTTCTTTTGCAGTCACCAGGTGTCCCAGAAAGACCCCCAGCTCCCAGCCATAAGGCCTCCTTTGAAAGGCTCTGTTGCTGTTTTCAGAGCTGCTCCCAGCCCAAGCTCAGCTAGCAGCAGGGAACTCTTACCTGCTTGTTGGCCAGAACCACCACCGGCAGGGTGGAGTTGTTCTGGATCAGTTGATGAAGCAGCTGTTTTGCCACAGGCAGTCGGGCATGATCAGCCGAGTCCACGACATAGATTAGCAACAGCACTTTGGGCAAGTACATTTTCCAGTATGAACGCAGAGATTCACTGCCCCCGACTGGAAGAGAAGATAGCAGCACAGGGTTCGCCAAGTAATCCAAGCAGCACTGCTCCCACAGCTGCAGACAGCAGGCTCTGGGCTGAAAACCCAAGGCGTCTGGGTTACCAAAACCTCAAAGTATTTGAGCTACTATATATAAGACTGGAAGTAGCTTTATTTTCCCCAGTCAAGTCACATGCAGACATATGTGTACACTCTGGGAACAAAAAACAAAATCATTTTAAGCTCTTATTGTGAGAGGATTCTGGGTTCAGTTTCTTATGCCTGCTTCCTGCCTTGTTGTTTCTTGTTCTCATGCAAGTAGGAAGAGTAGAAAGAGGTCCATAAACACCATGGGGAATGTCCCCACATAACCCACCTACACATGCCTACCTCATCTTGAGACAAAGCAGGCCTACAACTGCCAAAGAAGAAATTCAGCTCTGAGGCAGGGAGGGCTTTCATTAGGTTTGTATGACACTGGGGACTAGTTCAAAGCTCCCACAGCTTTCATAGTGTCAACAACCAGAGGTGCTTAGGAGGTGAGAAAACTCAAGCCCCAGCAAACCCTTCAGGCAATCCTTGGGATAAATCTTTGTACAGGTTACATTTTTACATGAGTTCTGCTTCGCTGGATACAGAGGAAAACTGTCCACCTTCAAAAGCAATTGCTTTTGCACATGCAGCAAGTTGTTCGAGATTGTTATTCCCATCTGGGGACAAAAAGAGTTTGGTGAGATTAGTAGGAGCAGGAACAGCTAACGTATATTAAGCATTTCAGAAGTGTTTTCTACTCTTCAGGTCTTCTCCCAGGTACACTGCAGAACCACACCTTCAAGAGTACTGAGGTGCAAAAAAGGTCTAGGTGACTCTCCCAAAGGTAGTTAAGTTTTCAGAACAATACGGTACAGTTCAGAACAATACAGTTCCCTATAATGTTCTCCTGCCTTACATGGGAGCTCTTTTCAAAACTGAGTTGCTAGTCAGCTGTCTTTTACTGCCCTTTTGCTGCGACTTTTACTATGACTTTTTTCAGTTTCAAAGCAATTTTACTTTCACTAAAGTAAAAATGATCCAGTAGCTTCAAGAACATAGAAAGGGAAACATCATTTCCTGCTAGGGCATGCCTGCCTCTTCTTCAAGAGCCCCAGCATATCTGCAGGCAGTATTGCGAGTCTGTTGCTGTGGAAAGGAGCCAAAGGGCTGTGACTGATGCATCATACTTGGGACAGATGTCTGTGATTCTGTACAATGATGTTGTGGGGCTCACCACCGCTCCCTTTGTTAAGTGAATTCATGCATAGCATAACCCAGGGGTCAGCAGCTCCCACAGAGAACGCTTTTTTTCCCCCAAAACAAGTAGGAACCCAGCAGAAGTCAGAGGCAAGATATCACCCACTTTTCTGTATGATGGTACAAATAAAAAGATAGAATGTTGATTTTCTATCTGTCTAAGCCAGTAAAATAAAACCCCTGCTGTCTGCTGATCACCTTGTGCCATGTGATCACAGCACAGGCTGCTAACCCCTGGACTAGGCGATGGTACAGACTGGATAAGTAACCAGATTAAAGAGCCATGCACAGATTTACCTGGCTGAAACTGGCCTGAGATATTTCACTTCCCATGGGTCAGATCGCAGACAGCACATCTCAGTGACTACCAACGTGGACCAGAGAGGGAAGGACAACTCAGAAACAACAGGTTCTGCCATGGGGTACATGGCTGTGGGCCCAGGCCATCCCCGGGCAGGAGCAGAGATACCTTAGGTTCCTCTGGGCTCAGCTAGACAAAACACCTCCCAGTAGGAGACATAAGTATCTCAGACCTACTGTGACAGGGGTGCAGAATACAAGCATTTCTGGAGAGACTGTTTCCCCAAGACACCACAGACACTCCTGTGGTAGTATTACTTGGAATGAAACTGCCTTAGTGGCCTCATCCTCACATCCCAGAAACCTGGGAACAGCACAACTCCTTTAGACCTGCTGACAAAGGTACAGAGGCATCTATGGACTAGCTGCCAACTGAGCCAGTTGAGCACTGGTACAGTACAGTGCAGAAGTAGCAGGAAGCAAAGGGCAGCTTTTGCCTCCACAGAAGGCAGGCACTCTCTATACCACGGACTGACCTGAATCCAGGGTCTCCACCTTCCCCCTCACCTAGCTGCACCTAGATCAGCTCTGACACCCCAAAAGCATCACAGGAGATGTTCTCTGCAGGCACAGGCAATACCCAAAAATCAGTGCTAAGGACAACACAAAGCTTAATACAAACCTACAGACATTTAAAAGTCATTAAAGACTAGAAAACACCACTTAAGAGTCTGAACAAAAAGGTATGAAGCTTTTCTACCTCTCTTCTTTCACCTTATTATTTATTCCTCTTTGTCTCCTGCCCTTTGCCAGGCATAAGCACCAAGGAGAAACTGTACAACACACAATGGCTATGAATCACAACACAGGCCTTACTGGGGACACCTTGCTCTGGGCTGGTTTCATACCATTAGGCTTGTTATCCTTCTCTCTCTGGGAGCCGAACTCCCTGGAGGACAGGGCTGAATGAACACACACCTCCTTTAACTCCAGTGTATCATTTCCTTCAAGAACTGGGGTGGGAAAGCAGAATCTCCAAGGAGAAAATAATCACAACTTCATGTTATCAGAGCAGGCACAAGGGAACCCGATCCCTAGGGCACAGGACAGGAACTTATTTTATGCCCAGTACTAAAACACGTTCACTCACTCTCCAGGAACTCCATCTGTAACTCTTCGGTGTTGACGCAGATGGCGTTGAAGCCCTCGGTGGGAGCCACGCTGCGCTTGACATGGTTAGTTACCAGGGAGTGGAGAACACTGGTCTTCCCAGCCCCATCCAGGCCCAGCACAAGTATCTGCTTACCGTGTCCTGTACCCTGCGAAGCGAGTGGCAGCACGCTTAGCCAGGCACCCAGGGCATGTGCAACGCTCAGCAGGCCTGGGGGAATAAGGGAGCTTAACAAGGGGTCGGGGGAGAGAATAGCAAGACACTTCCCAGTGGAGACGGTGCTGGGCTCCTGCGGCACAAGTACAGGGCCGCAGCGCCGGCCCGTCGCTGCCTGGGGGTGGAAAGCGGAGAGCGCGGTCCGGGCTCCGCCGCGCTGCCGAGGAGGACGCCAGGCCCAAGCGGCCCGGTATCGCATCCCCGCCGAGAGGCTCCGTGCGGCCCCGTTAGCGTTGCCCGGCCCAGCGGCCTCGCCCGCTGCCCCAACCCGGCCCCGGTACCTGATCGGCGGCGGCTGTGGCGGCAACAGGGCAGTCGGGAGTCGGCGCTGCCCGGCTCCGCAAGCGGACCCAGACCCAGGCCGCCACGGCAGCGGCCCCGGTGGCGGCCAGCGCCGCCCCCCACAGCGCAGCCGGCCGCAGACGGGTGCCCATGGCCGCCCCGCTCCCGGCACTGAGAGGCCTAGGGACGCACAGCGCTCCCCCTGCAGCCCTGCGTGCGCACGGCTCCCCCTGCAGCTCTGAACGCACGGCCTCTCTCAGCTGGGCTGTCAGGCTGAGAACTTGCCCGTGTCCATAAAGCCAAGAGCGAACGGTGTCACTGGCGGCCCTCTGCTGTCAGAGGAAGGCAGGCGTGCCCCACAGCTGCTGCCGCCTCGACCCCCCACAACAGGATTTGCTTCATGGGCACCCATCTCAGGGGGAGGCCCATATAGGGCACTGCCCGAGCAGCCCGGACAGGGCTCCAGCAGTGCCACAGGGCAGCGTTTCCATCTGGTCGGTTCCAGCCAGGTTTGAACAGAGAAAATACCTGGAGAACACAGAGTTGCATTCTCCTCCACTATCTCCTCTCCCCAAATCGCATCCTGTCACTGCAGGGTAGCACTCGCTCTCCTGTTGTCACCAGCTGCTGGCTAGGAGGATGCACAGGACTCAGACAAGTCACTTAACTCAAGCGGCTGCTAGTCATTCAGAAAGCCGTTTTCTGTTCTCTGTTCTTTCTTCTCACTTAGAGCACCACACATTTAGCCCCCTTTCCCGATACTCCCAGTGTACAGTCAAGGTAGTAAAGACTTTTCTATTCAGTAGATTTTTACTCCACAGGGACTCAGGGTTTGTGGTTTTTTTTAAGCCACTGTTAACATTTTCCTTGCTCTCCCCCTCTTCAGGCGTTTGCTTTAAATTCTGTCAGACAGAAGTCTTTGCCTTTTGGGCTGACTTAAGACAACACTCCCACTGAAAGTGCATGTATCGGAAAATGGCTTTGCTACATTCAGACCAAACCAGAAGTTTACAGAGAAGCATGGGAGCTGCCTGTAGGGTGCTAGGAAAGCAGACACACCTTCCACCGGACCACCAGATTCCACCTGAGAAGCACAACGCCTCTTCCACTCAGCCCACCACCACCAGCCACTTCAGTTTAACTCACCCTTTTGCCAAGCCTGCTAGAGTAAGGGTTGCAGAAAAAGGACCATCGAGTCATCTGGCACACACTTTGCCATGCTGTCTCTTAACAGCCCTGTTCTCCCCTTCACATTATCTTCTGCATCATGTAGCCCAGATGTTGTTTCCCAAGACCCTTTGTGCCTGTGCTCTTTGGTGATCAGAGACTGACGGCAATGAGACATACTGCATTACGCAGTTGGACACATTGTCAAATAAATTTGCTAAAGGCCTTAACATATACAGGAGGAGCACAAAACTACATTTCAAGAAGTTCTTGATTATTCCAGATCTTTTAAATGTTTGGCAACATGGACAGATTTCTTCCTAGAGGCTGCATTTCAGTTTAATGACAACATGAAGTCACAGGGGTAGCAAGCGTGAGGAAGGTGACTGTGAGCAGACCAGCCCACCTGAGTGCCTATCCCAGCCCATCTTCCCCCAGGCCCCCTACTGACAGGACAGAGATCCAGATGCCAAGTGTCTTTCCCCAGCACTTGCTTTCAACCTTTATTCTGCAGCCAGCATCACCTACTGAAGGAGAGAGGTTACATGTCCTGCTTTCTACCACCCTCCTTTAGACCCTTTCTTTTTCTTCTGCTGCTGTTTCTTCTTGGTGGCCGGAGCACCAGCGGGTTTTTGGTGCCTGGGAGGGATGACGTTACTTGTGGCTGAGACAGCTGTACCGCTGCCAGGCCGAGGGGAGGTAGGTGGGCTGCTGGCAGTCCTACTGGCGTCCCTGCAGGGAAATAAGAGAAGGAGACACCACGTGGGTTCACAGCCACGCACAAGATGTAGCACTACTGCAGGAAGCCGACAGCAAAAACCAGCAGCTGCCCAGTAAGGCATGTGAGGGCACTTATGCAAGCTTCAACATATATCGAAGGGCTGGATGATGGGAACATATCTCAAAGGGCAGGCAATCACCTAACTGATGTTTACTACATAGTGCAAGTCCTCAACAATGAAAGCAAGGGTAATTTTTAACAGATGTGTGACAGTTCACACAACATGAGAAGCCTTTCAACCCCCACACTCAGGCAGCGCAAATCCAACACCCTTTCTCTCTCGTTAAGCACAAAGGCACCTTTGTGCCAGCCCTCCTCACAAACACTGCTCAAGCCAACCCTGCCACAAAAGGCTTCTCATGCTTCTGTTCTGAGACAGCTGTATAAAGAGAAACTATCAGACAGCTCTGCATTGCTGTTACTTTAGAAGTACTTCCTTCTCTCAGATGCTAGTAAGTCACCATCTTGCTGTCGGGCCTCAAACACATTTGGAAAACCTGATTCCAGCTCAAATAATCAGCATCAACTCAGAAGGAAGTGTAGCGTTTTCCCAAATCATGACCAATGGGTACTTACAGTTCAGAGGAGCCAGATGTAGTTGAACCCTGAGTCCCCTTGCCAACCTGGTCCTTCTTCTTGCCCTTCTTTCGGCCACGATAGTAGGAACGCTCTCGCATTGGAAGCCACCGCTCGGGGTCAGGAGTCACCTTGGGGTCATAGTTCTTAGGCAGCTTTCCTGCACAACACAGCGCCAGGAAATGAGACTGGGATCAACACACTAGAGAGGCATCACCAAGGGATACATATAGCAGTCAGTAGCCAGGAAGTGCCAAGAGCCCAGCAACCCACACCATCCTATCAGACTGCTGCTCTCACTTCAGTGGAAAAATGCCTCATCCAAACAAGCTGTCACAAAGATCTAAGTTCACAGGAGCCCAGTCCTAGCAAAGAGCTCCAGCTCCTGGGGAGCTCAAAGCTGGCTATTTGAAGAAACAATCTGGTGAGCTCCATGGAGCTGTGTTGTGTCAACAGCTAGCAACTTACCCTTCTTTTTTTTCTTCTTCTTCTTCACATCCCCTTGTCTGAAAAGCAAGAAGAGAAACAGCTGCTGTGACACAGCACGGACACAGCAGACAAGCCAACTGAAAACTAGCTGTGGATAAAGCTGAACCAATCCCAGCTCTCTCAAAACTTGGTCTGCTGCTACCTCAAACTCCTTGCAGCTAGACATCGGGCTCCTTTTTCACCAGCCTGCTTTCCACAGCAATGCCCCCACCACACTAGGAGTGGTTCTTGTGCCACACCAAAGGATGATTGCACCAGAGGGACAGCAGACCGCTTTACCCTTGCTCTTTCTGCTGGTTGTCTCCAGTGAGCTTCCCAGCTTTCTTCCGAATGTAGGTTGCTCCGTGGGAGTTCTCCAGCGCATCGACATCTACTTTCAGTGACAGGGTATCTGAGGAAGGCAAGTGTTTGCTAAGACTGCAAGGGAAGAGTTCAGGGATGCAAACCGGCAAGCAAGAAGATAAAACACACAGGTTCGGCCAGACAGCAACAGGCAACATCAGCTTAAAAAATTCAGCCTGTTAGCAATGCAGACACCAGACAGGCTCATGGGGCTAGTTCCAGCTGTCACCAGTTTCCTACACAAGCTGGGATAAGCTGCTTAATCACCACCTGCCTCACTTTTCTTTATTACGGGGAAAGAAGCAGCAACTTCCTTTGAAAGCTGCTCAGGATGACAAGAGCAGTATGTGAACCTGATATTCTGGGTCACTGGGAGCTTAGCCACATTTTATAGGGCACAGTCCGGCATTACAACCACAGGTTTCAGATTCCAACAGAAAATACAGAGGAGCTCCTATTTTTGGTTCCATTATCAATTCTCAGAGAGAAGGTGGCCAAAGACAAAAGGGTCTCGGAACCCACAGTAATCAAACCAACTAAGGAAATAATAAGAGCTCCAGACAGCTTTACCTGGATACGTAGCTGTTCTGGAGACACTGACTGCCTTCAGGTGAGAATGGGTCTGAATTCTCTACACAGCTGAAATAGAAGGGACCAATGCCCAAATGCCCCTTTTTCTTTGTTCTGATA